CAATGTTTTTATGAACTTTCTGAAGCAACAAAGTGAATCATTTTGCTGGGAGTTTATAGAGGCTTAAAAGTCATTTTAAAGGGAAGTTCTGGAATTAGACAACACACGGACCTGAATAACATCCAAATCCACTCCCAATATTTGTTTGGATTGGGCAAACATAACACCAGGCTTTGAATTTCAGATTATCTCAAAAACAAGCTCCAAGAAAAATTACAGCCTGTAAGATACATAAATCCAAGATGATTTATTGCTTGATGATGATCATTTAGGACTGGCACATATTGCGGTCAATTTGGCTCTATGGAAACCCAATACACATATTTCTGAAGTCAAAATGCACAAAGTAAGCAAAATAGCATGGCAATCATGTGAGCATCTTTATATGAAAATTGACCTGAATGGTAACCAAACAATGAACGGTCAACACACATCAGTCTGTGTTTGAAAAACAGAAGGGTGGGTTTCAGACAAATGGTAAAAGGAATAATTACTGTTGTTTCCAGTTATTTACAGCCCGGGAATATGACCCATTCTCCTTTTCAGCTGTCTGTTTGCTTACAGCTGTCCACAATCTGCAATTCAGCTAAATAACTTACTGTCTGAAGAACAGCTGACATATTCAAAAGATAAACATTTATGAGATAAATACAATAAAAAACAAACAGTGTAACTCATGTTTGGTTTGTTTAGATCAGGGGTGGGCAAACTTGGCCCTTCCAGGCCACTTTCCTTCAGAGGTTAGCTCCAACCCAAATCAAACACACCTGAACCAGCTAATCATTGTCTTCAAGACTACTAGAAGGCTACAGGCAGGTGAGTCATGTCAGGGTTGGATCAAATCTCTGCAGGAAAGTGGCCTGGAAGGGTCAAGTTTGCCCATCCCTGGTTTAGATGATGTAACGGTTATCCGAGTGGTTCCCAACCCTGGTCCTGGAGGCACCCCAACACTGCACATTTTGCATGTCTCCTTTCTCTGACACACCAATTTCAGATCTTGGAGTCTCTACTAATCAGCTGATGACCTGAATCAGGTGTGTTTGATTAAGGAGACATGCAAAACGTGCAGTGTTGAGGTGCCTCCAGGACCAGGGTTGGGAACCACTGGGTTATACTATGCTGGCAGGTTATAGTCAGAGCATACAACAACATGTGTCCATATATACAGTGTTTCTGACGTATGGATTACTGCATCTCCTTCACAGTACAATTCAGGCAACTTGATGGCAGAAAGTTTTACTAATTCCTATGGAAGTTTCCGCTTCAAAAAATGCTTCAGATTTCTCCTACAAGCTAGGTTCATCATACAGAGCCTCTAACAATCAGCTAGACCTCTCCAGAAGTCATAAAGTACAGTAAGGCCCTATGAGTTCCACGATGTGAACAATGCTGACACAAACACGGAATCAAGTCATAAAAATGGAATTTACAGTATAACACGGAATGTCACGGAATATGGCTAATATTGCATAAATCAAGAGTAGGCTGTATGCTTAACCAAATCACGATATGGACTAGTGTCTGTGACTATTAAGGCGCAGAAAGACAACTATTTAAAAATGAAGTCTGCATGTTCTGAATGTCTCTGTGTGAATGACTGGTGCAGTTTTGTCTACGACACATGTTCAAGCACGCATTACAGTTGTGGTGTTTTCAGCGCCTGTCATCTCACTATATTAGAACAAGCAAGCATGAGCTTCATCTCCAGAGCTGCTCTGAGAGTTCACTTTCACGAGCATTTAATTTGATAAAAACTACCGTCATATCGAATATAAATGGAAACGTAAAGGTCTTCACTACTACAACCTGCCAAAATAAAAGTTTAGTTTAAATTGAAGAAACTGTGATGACTGCATGCTACTTTTGTAATATGTAATAATGATAATACATTTATTAAAACTTTCTTTTTAAGGATTATCACACAACCTCTGTTGTGCTCTACTTTGCAACAAAAAATAAATAAATGTTACATTTTTTACATGATTACATTTTTAAAGATTAATTAAATTTTGTTATTAAATTATACATCCGGAAAAATTTCAACGGACAACAGAATTTCTGGGAAAAAAAGAAACTAAAATAATTCATAGGGCCCTATATTTAAGAAATTGTAACAAATTATCAAATTGCTCCAGTGTTATGAAACTCTTTTTGATTAAAGTTTAATTGAACCATTAAAATGGAATCCAGAAAAAAAAATGTATTAATATGGAAAACAACCATTTTAAAAAACAAAAGATATAATTTAGGGGAAATGTAATTTTAATAAACAGGGCCCTAAAATGTAATGTTAAACTTTTAATAAATGGCTGTTAAACTGCAGAAGTTTCATGATTTCAGTTAAGCATGCTTTTTGATTACTAAAATGTAATTTAACCATTTAAACAGAATCTAGAAAAAAAAAAAGAAAATAAATACAAATGGATTTTACAGGGCCATTCAAAAGTTTAAAAAATGTCTATGGTAGTACTCTAGTTGTTGTTTTTTTACATCACGAGCATTTAATTTGATAAAAACTACCGTCATATCGAATATAAATGGAAACGTAAAGGTCTTCACTACTACAACCTGCCAAAATAAAAGTTTAGTTTAAATTGAAGAAACTGTGATGACTGCATGCTACTTTTGTAATATGTAATAATGATAATACATTTATTAAAACTTTCTTTTTAAGGATTATCACACAACCTCTGTTGTGCTCTACTTTGCAACAAAAAATAAATAAATGTTACATTTTTTACATGATTACATTTTTAAAGATTAATTAAATTTTGTTATTAAATTATACATCCGGAAAAATTTCAACGGACAACAGAATTTCTGGGAAAAAAAGAAACTAAAATAATTCATAGGGCCCTATATTTAAGAAATTGTAACAAATTATCAAATTGCTCCAGTGTTATGAAACTCTTTTTGATTAAAGTTTAATTGAACCATTAAAATGGAATCCAGAAAAAAAAATGTATTAATATGGAAAACAACCATTTTAAAAAACAAAAGATATAATTTAGGGGAAATGTAATTTTAATAAACAGGGCCCTAAAATGTAATGTTAAACTTTTAATAAATGGCTGTTAAACTGCAGAAGTTTCATGATTTCAGTTAAGCATGCTTTTTGATTACTAAAATGTAATTTAACCATTTAAACAGAATCTAAAAAAAAAAAAAAGAAACAAACAGCATTTGGAAAAAAAATACAAATGGATTTTACAGGGCCATTCAAAAGTTTAAAAAATGTCTATGGTAGTACTCTAGTTGTTGTTTTTTTACATAATTTATTTAAATACATTATAGCAATGTGGTATGTTTAAAATAAGTGTCATATAAACACATTAATACAATAATTCAGGACTATGATATCACCACTGTATTTTTATAAGCACATGCTTCTAGAACAGTAGCAAACTGGTGACTTATGAATCTGATTTGAAAGCATACAGCTCTCCGACCACACAGGGAGGTTTTTAACTAATTTCTCGGATGTCATATACAGGGCCAGACAGTTGTCGGAGTAAAGTCATGTCTTGGCACAATCTCTCAGGCCGCCCTAACAGCTGAGACAGACCCTTCACATTCCTCACATCACCTGTGCTGCTCTGCTGGGAAAACAACACTGCCACCAAACTTTCCTCAGCAACTCCAACTCACTTTGACAACACAAGTGACATATATCAAACATAATGTAAAAATGATCCCAAAAAGTATTTACACTTAAGCAAAAAAAAAAGGAGGGGGTGGTTTCAAATTCAAAATAAGCACTAAATGCATTGTTTAATTACAACTAATACAAAAAGTATCGTTACTTGAAGACGTTCATAGCTAATGTGATGAGCTGCACCTGTGGTTTCTCTGCTAGGAAAGCTGAGAGAACTTGTGAGGAACTACATCCACTAAAATCACTCACATCAGATGGTAAAAAGACATTCAAAAAGCTGTAGCATCATTTGTTTGTAAATGCAATGACATTCATACACCTTTAACTCTTAACTTGAGTGGCCACATACTTTTAGGGCCACAGCATCTCCAATAAAGAGCAGTGAATGAGAGGAAAATGAAACATTATGACTGGGTCCGGATGACTGTGCAGATTTGGCCCATGATTACTGCAGTTCTGAAGCTGAAGTGAGTGTTCAATAATACATGCACCATCATCATCATCATCATCATCTCCACCCAGGGCATCTGTCACACTTTAAAAAGGGTTTACTCAGCCGCTTTGAAATGTCAGCTCAGAGTTATTCTAACACAGTTAGACTAGTTACACGGGTAACCCTGTAGTCTGCTGACACCGAAGCAAAAGAAATATCACAATATAGCGTTGCACGTATGCCTCGCGCAAACGTCCCGAGAACCCATAGACATAAAGCAGTAGATAAAACTCTGCTGTCTGCATGGAGTCAACATGGTAACTGGGAACGATAAGTTTGTTTGTGTAATTCGAAGAGAACATCCTTTTAACACACTAAACCTCACCTCTCCGAGTTCAATGTAAAAATCCAGTGTGCTGCGCTTCTCCTTTAAGGACAGATCAAATCCAGCGCAGCTCGAGTCCACTCATATCCCAGAACGGTCTCTCTCAAATTGTCCTTTGCAACTTTCCCGTTCCCATTTTGACTAAAAAATGACTACAGTCCTTTTCCCATTGAAATTACCCAACAGTGCCGCGTTTCTTTTCTTGTGGGAGTCGCTCGCTGAAACTCCTTTCTGTTTTTTCTGCTTAATCAGTGCTGCTTCTCAGCAGCGTTTCGACGCGCTGAGGAATCGGGAGGAATTGGGCGGGGTCAGCTGCGGCGATGGGCGGTGGCTGCCTTTCAGAGATGCAAGCCGTATTTAGTTGCGTCACGAATGTCAGCCAATCACCTTCGGGTGTTGGAAAGAGGCGTGTACGTGATGCGAAGAAGCGGAGAAGCGCCTTGCCCCTCAACACTGTCGCAATCGTGTAGAAGCGCGACATTTTCAATAACAACAGTGAATGGTTTACGGCACCTGCCCTCGTTGTGCTTGTAGTAGAGAAAGGTGGACGTTATGGGAACTCTTACTTTGGGAACTCTTTCTTTAGCAAGGTAAGAAACGATATGTTGTCAAATTAGACGACTGACTGCTATTATTAAAATTATGAAGAAAGCTGAGAAGCGGAATGTTTTTGTTTTTAAATCACTGGGGGGGGGGGGGTTCCTGCATCTGTGCGCAGTGCAGTACTGATTTGTGCAATTAGACAGTTTTTGCAAATATTAAGACAACTTTAAGTTATGCTAAAGCACTTATAAAATAACTGCATAAATAGTCTTATATCTTAAAACTAATACAAGAACAGACAGATTAGAGTAACGTTAAAGGGGTCATATGATGCGATTTCAAGTTTTCCTTTCTCTTTGGAGTGTTACAAGCTGATTGTGCATAGATAAGATCCCTGAAGTTGCAAATCTGGCTCTTCTGAATCAGCTACTGTTTTGTTATTAGTTTAAGTATTTGCTATTGACTGTTCAAATGCGGAGTTTTGCGCATCGTGTGTGTGTGTGTGTGTGTGCAACCATCTTAACCGTGGCTTGTGTTCTGCAAACACATACCAGCTTCATCACTGTGTCTGTCACGCGACTCTGTTCCCCTTTCAGACTCTGTCTTTACATTTATTTTGAAAGATGAAGCTCGCGATTATGGTAAGGGGTGTTACATTTCCGACGAGTGCTTGCGGTGTTCGGCCAATCACAATGCACTGGGTCAGCTGGCCAATCAGAGCAGACTGCGCTTGTCGGAAGGAGGGACTTTGTAGAAAGAGCGTTTGAGAGAGGCGGGGCATAGAGGACCTACAATAATGTGCAGTATTTGAAAAATAATGTGTTTTTTTAACATTAAAGCATGTCAACATATTCTGTTACACCAAATACACAAAATAATGATCTTTAAAAAAAGCATCATATGACCCCTTTAAGTTGTACTAATATAAATTAATTTAATAGCCATACAAAATTGTAAGAAGAACAGAAAGTGTAGGTGATAAATTACCGTAACAAAAGTATTGTGTCAGTAGAATGGTACAGTTAAAGTAGACAGATAGATAGATAGATAGATAGATAGATAGGATAAACAGTTTCATAATAATAATGTAACATAATAAATATCATTATTTAAATAACACCTTTCATTCATAAAATGCAGCTTAAAGTGCTTTATGTAGAAGCACAAATGTCAAATGTCACACGCACACACACAAAACAAATTAAGCAGATAAAAATAACATAACATCAAATACATAACACATAAGATTAAAAAAACAACGTAATGCATAAAAATGTAGTATATCAACAACATAATACACAGAAAACTAATTAAAAACTATGGTAAAAAGATTTTGAATATTATTTTAAGTTTTCTTTCATCTGTTGCTGGAACCTCCAGTTATCCTAATATTCTTGACGGAATATAATTTGGCAATATAGAGGAAAGTTTTATAGGAAGCCAATGCAAAGCAGCTAAAACTGGAGTTATGTGTTCTCTCTTTCTAGTTATTAGCCAAGCTTCTGAATTGTGGATAAGCTGAAGTGTTTTGTGGGGGACCATTAAAAAATTTACTTGAGCAAAGGTTTCTATGGGACAAGAAAAGTATGTTTTAGAAAAATTTTGCGAACTACCAAGACCCCTTCAAAAATCATCTAAATTTTATCAACTCAGTTTAAGGATTGGTGATAAGAACTGTGAAAACTTGAGATTGATTTGGCAAAGAGACATTAATAGTGACATAGATAAGGACACTTGGAACAGAATTTTGTCCTACAGTGGAAGGTACATAAAGGAAGCAAGAGGCAAATGTATCCAGTATAAGGTATTACATAGGTATTATTATACACCAGTGCGACTTTTTAGAATGGGTTGTCTGATTGGTAATAAATGCTGGAAATGTAAACAAGAAACTGGCACATACATTCATGCTCCCTGGCAATGTTCAAAGATTCTACCTTTTTGGGAAATTGTGTTGAAATATCTTGGAAGATGTTTGGGATTTAACCTTCCATTTTCATCAAGGATTTGTCTTTTAGGAGATAAATCGGAGATTCCTCAGATTAAAAATAGCGAGTTTTCCCTTGTTACTGTCGGTGTAATCACGGCAGTATGACTGATACTTAGATTTTGGAAAGATATTCAATGTCCTTCACTTAAAATGTGGATTGAATCTATGATAGAGAATGTATCATATGAAAAAATGTTAGCTAAAGTGAATGGAAATCACATGGATGTTGACATGTGGGAGAATTTTATTCAGATTGTCACTTCAGGCATGGATCTCGGTCATCCCTTGAAGTGTGACTTGATTACCCTGTTGTGCATTTAAGTGTCATTTCTATAATTATTATTATTATTTATGATAATTACTTTTGTTTGTTTTGTATACTTTTTTGTACTGCTATGTTTTGTTATGTATTAAGAAAACCAATAAAAACTTCATTTTCAAAAAAAAAAAAGTTTACTTGATGTAAAAGCATGGTATTAACTTGATACTATGTATGTAAATCAGTTAAATCTTTTAAGTCTCATCCCCACAGTAATTGCTGCTGTCATTCTGGTTGCCTTGAGGATGGATCCAGTGGTACTGAGCTACCAGGACAGTCTTCTGCGGTGCTCAGATGTGGCACTTTTAAATGGACCCCACTGGCTCAATGATCAAGTCATAGGTTTTGCCTTTGAGTACTTTGCAACAGAGCGCTTCAAAAGTTTGGGCGAGAAGGTCTGTTTCATCAGCCCTGAAGTCGCTCAGTTTATAAAGTACGCTTCATGTCAAGAGGAACTCGCCATTTTCCTGGAGCCGCTGAGTCTTGCGTCTTGTCGGTGTGTTTTTTTGGCTGTCAATGACAACTCTAATCAATCAGCCGCTGGCTCCCATTGGAGCCTGCTTCTCTATCGGCGAGACACCAACCAGTTCTCCCACTACGACTCTCAGAGTGAAAGCAACTCATTGCATGCTCGCCAAATTGCAGCTAAGTTGGAGGCTTTTGTAGGCACTGGAGCGAAAGTGCCCTTTGTGGAGGAGCAAAACCCCTCGCAGCAGAATAGCTATGACTGCAGAATGTATGTGATCTGTAATGCCAAGGCTCTATGTGAGAGTGCAAGAGTCGAGGGCTGTCCCCACCTGCCCGCTCAGATCATAACACCCACCTACATTACACGGAAACGGACAGAATGGTATTCACTAATACAGAGACTCACCAAGGAATGACTAGCTGACCTTTTACATCATGCAACTGTATTAGCCACTGGGCAAGGTGAACACACTTATTTATCATACTCAATCCTGCACAAAGGATGCACAAAATAAACTGCATTTGAAAACAGCATGCACTTCTCAAAAATTGTTTTGCCAAACTCTTAATTGAATAGTTCACACAAAAATGAAAATTCCATCATCACTTTACTCGCCTCGCTTCAAACCCAAAATGAGAAGTGAGATGCCGAATCTTCACATTGCTTTTTTTCATACAATGTAAGTGAATTTGGACTGCTCTGTCAAGCTCCAATAATTACAAATAAAGCAGCATTATGGGATAGTTCACCCAAAAGATAAAAATTTGCTGAAAATGTATTCACCCTTAGGCCACCAGATGAATTTGTGTCTTCCTCAGAACTGATTTGAAATTTTTTTTTGCAATGCATCACTTGATCACCAGTGGATCCTCTGCAGTGAATGGGTGCCGTCAAAATGAAAATCACCAGTGGATCCTCTGCAGTGAATGGGTGCCGTCAAAATGAAAGTCCAAACATCTGATAAAATAATCCACAATAATCCACAAGTAATCCGTTAATGTGAGAAGCAAATCCATCATTAAGGCTTTTAAAGTAACTTTAATCCTTCGCTTCTGGCCAAAATACCAGTCCATAATCAATGATAAAACTTCCTCCAGTGAAAAAGTCCATGCCCTGTTGTCCTCTCACATCAAAATCTACTGATATATTTGTTTAGAACTGTTGTTAGACCTTTTTCAGATAAGACATGGGAGAAAGCTGCATTATGGATAGAGGACTTGTATTTTAGCTGGAAGCAACGGTTAAGTTAAAAGCATCATGATGGATTTGTTTCTTACAAACTCAGAACTTTTTGTTTCACTAGACCTTAATTGATGGATTGAAGTTGTGCGAATTACTTGTGGATTATTGTGATGTTTATATCAGCTGTTTGGACTCTCATTCTGACGGCACCCATTCACTGCAGAGGATCCATTGGTGAGCGAGTAATGTAAATTACTCCAAATCTATTCCAATGAAGAAACAAACTCCTCTACATTTTGGATGGCTTGAGGTTGAGCAAATTTAGTTTTTGAGTGAACTATTCCTTTGAATTATCAAAAAAGTAGCGAATCATGCACTATATTCATATTCTTCTGAAGTCAGTTATTTCCCTCCACTGTAGCTCTTAAATCAAATATGTATTGGCATATATTTACATATGGCATGAGAGAACACATCATGACAGATTTGATGTGATTGTTGCCAAACCTGACTGGTTATTATGGTGTTCGTCATAACCAATGGTTATGAATGGAAGGGAAGATTTTCACTGCACAGATCTATCATATGACTTAAATAGACTTGAAGTATACTGCACAAGTCATATAAACTACATCTATAATGCCTGCATACATTTTTTTGATCATATTTTGAACTTGGCAGCCTCAGTCCTCATTCATTTGCATTGTATGAAAATGAGCTAAACATCTTCCGTTAAGGAAATAAAGTCATACAAGGGTGAGTAAATCCTGATTCATTGTTTCATTTTTGGATGTGCTGTTTCTTTTAAGAAAACGTCTATGATATTTCATCTATTCAAAAGAGAGAAGAAACTTGTGATCAGTGTAACAAATCAGTTAGCAGCACAGGTCGGTACAGTAGATTCAGAATGTATTGTTGCTGATTAGTTTAGATTAGTAGCATGAAGTGAGTAACTGAATGTGATGCTTGTTTACAGGACCTTTTGCTCAGGGCTTATTTTGAGAAGAGTACAGATGACAAAGAATGTGATCTGTGTTATTACTGTCTAAGGAAAATGTAGTATGTGCTGTTACAACACACGGGCTGAACAAAAATACAGTAGAGTCGTTTTTATTTAACCAAGTGCATCCTCTCGCTGAGCTGAAAAGATGCTTCGTATTAAATGTATTAAAATAATAATGAATATGCATTTTTTTATAGTCATGCCAATCTGTGAAATATTTTATTGAGTAGAAATTGTGTGTAAAGTACATATATATATACATATATGTATGTGTGTGTAGATTTTTTTTCCCCCAATCTGATCATCCTTATCCAGTAAATCATAAAAATGTCCATTGATTGGTTAGAATGAGTGGAAAAATTAAAGAACCTTCTATACATTCCGTTTACAGAAACAAGGAGTGTCCATAGATTTAAATAAACAAAACCTTGCCTTCAAATATTGTTGTGCCTATGCAACAAATGACCCATTTTATATGAAACTCAGTCCATAATGCAAAGGTTATCACCGGAACCGTGTTGATAGCTGTGGGGCCTCAGGTTTACCAGGTTTACTCTCAACAGTAGACTCTGTATGAAAGCGCTCTGAGCTCCTCCGGGGCCTCAGGTGTTTCACATTATCTCTCTGAGGGGGTCCTGACCTTCATGATCTCAGTTCTGGGACTGTACACCTCATCCACATCCTCTTAAACTGCACTGTAATGTACTGCAGATCTCCTCAGAAGTGTAAACACATTTCAGGGGGGGAAAAAAATTATATTTGAAGTGTAAGGAAAATGTTATTACTTTTTACATGATGGTTACACGTGACTTTAAAATATTAAAATAGTTCTTAATAAACAGTATTTTGCAAAACCAAAGCCTATTAGATCTAAACTGTGTGGATGCTGACAATAGATGACAAAGTGCGATTTGAAAAGTGTTATTGATCATCCACACCCATTTTGGGCCCTTCAAAATATTCTGTTACAGAATGAGGTCTGTAACTTGAGATCATGTGGTGAACACAAATAGCCTTTTGCACATTCTCCAAAAGGTCTGTAACCGATCTCAACTCTAGTCTCACAAGTGCACACAAAAAAGATAGAGAGTAAAAAAGCAGATAAGATTGACGTATGTAAAAGTATACCTTGCGAGGTGTCATTTGGGAATGTTGCTCTGGTATGCCCATTCACACTGCTGTCAGGACTTGACTGAAAGAGCACAAACAGTGACGCTGAGGCTGGATTGAGATGGATCTCAAAGCTCTTACTCTGTAAACTCTTGCCAGTGAGGTGTTAACATGGCTGCAGTAAATTTAACACCAACTGTTAAATGACCTCTGACCTTTTTATTTTATTTTATTAAAGCTAGAATATCCTCAGAGCTGTGTTTGAATTCTGGTGATGGGCTATATATGTAAAGACTTAAAGAGAAGCCTTTATTTTATGCTGCAAAATCCATTTCATGACAAAGCCACCAGACAGGTTTCTATATGTAGCCGACTTCCTTAAAGACAAATTCCACTGCCAAAAACAAAGCTATGGATTTATGAACTTGAAGACAGGACATCTGAAGGTTGCTGCTGTTTTTTTCCACATGAAAACCCTCTGTCTCTGGGATATATGAGGTAGGCCGGACCTATAGGTCAGGTTTAGTAGGCATGAAAACATGCCTTGGGCTAATAGTTATAGGTCACGGCATCGCAGGATGTGAAAAGGATGGCTTATAGTCTGTGTGTTCCACGACAAATGTTGAAAAAATAACCTTTTAGAGATGTCTACTCATGCTCTTTCTCTCTCTTTACTGACTTTACAGTAAACTAAAAGCTACGCTATGAAAAAAAAATGCTGTAATTTTTTACAGAAAAACATTTTGCCAGCTCTTTTCTGCTGAATGCTCAAGGCCACGCTACTACCAAAATCTGTTTTGTATCTTTAACACACACTAACAATCACCATAATAACACAGGTGATACAGAGAAAGCCACAGGAAGAATCAATGTTGATCACAATCGACCTTTCCACAAGCTGAGGCAAATTAATGGCACTACACCCAAATACAAAACACCATTATGGTAACACATTATATTAACCAAAGTGTAAAAATGTTGCGCACATCCCACAAACCCACACAGGGCTCAGGTGCACACTCTTAAAAATAAAGGTGCTTCACGATGCCATAGAAGAACCTTGTCTGAATGGTTCCATAAAGAACCTTTAACATCTGAAGAACCTTTCTGTTTGACAAAAGGTTCTTTGTGGCAAAAGAAGGTTCTTCAGATTACAAAAAGGTAAGAAAGAGATGGTTCTTTAAAGAACCTTTGACTGAATGGTTCTTTGTGGAACCAAAAATGGTTCTTCTATGGCATCGCTTGAAGAACTTTTTGAAGCACCTTTATTTTTAAGAGTGCAGGACAAAAAAGTCAAACTATAGCAAAAATACAAACGTATTTTGTATATGTACATTTGTATTTTAACATACATTACATTGAAATAATGGACTAAACATTAATTATACAACATAAGCTATAAAATAAAACCATAATATGCGTAAATGAAAACAAAAACTATTAAAAAAACACAATTATTTGAATAAAATAACATGAAATTTGAAGTGTCACCCAGGGTCAGTTTATGGTTTTTCACTGTAAATTAAAAGATGATTTGTTATTTTTTACTTCCAAAAGGGTACATTTACAGTATTTTACAATAAATAAATTACAATAAATACAAGAATCTATTACAGATTTTTCCATGTAGTAACTAGTTTTTGCTGTAGCATTTCTACAATCTTTTACAGGCAAACTTACAACAATTTTTTACTATGTACACGCACCAGCCGCTTTATTAGGTACACTTTTTAGTGCCAGGTTGAACACCTATTTGCCTTCAGAACTGCCTTAATTCTTCATGGCATATATTTAACAATCTGTTGGAAACATTTGTCAGAGATTTTGGTCTATGACATGATAGCATCACACAGTTGCTGCAGATTTGTCGGCTGCATATCCATGATGCAGATACACGAAAGATGATAAGTGTACATTAAATGTATAAGTTGCATTAGTTATAACATCATTTGTCACAAATGTCAGCTTGGGGTGAGGTTGGGGAATCAAATGCTTTTATACACACTGTGATTTTATTCATAAATGTGATCTTCTATAACCATTTGTGCTTCTTCAACCAGTGCCCAAAAAAAGAGCAGGTTTCCATTGTGACAACATGCCCTGCTATGAGGTCAGTGTGTGTTAAATGAACATGGGGCAATAAATGTGTAAAATTCTTTAGGGTATGTGCCTACAACATGACTTTCAAAAACAAACATATCTAGAGAAATATTCACTGGAGAAAAAAAACAAACAATTGCAATTTACCCTGATGTCCCCTGTTAACATGTAATGTGTTTCAGATACTTCATTGCAATTTAATTAGCTTATACAGATTTATGCAGAAATTGGCTTTCAGCATACCTTAAGAAATGTTTACTGAAGTAAAAAAAAGTACAATTTGTCTAGGTTCCCCCATCTGTATGTAAATAATGATAGTTATTTTTGAGGTTGTGACCACCAGATCACCAGAGCTCCGTTGCCTCAAAGCACAAAAAATCTGTGACACAAAGGGTTTTTTTGCGAATAACGTAAAAGGCCTAGTGCAGGGCTGTCCAAACTCGGTCCTGGAGGGCCGGTGTCCTGCAGAGTTTAGC